TAGCTAAGTATGATATGGTGAAAAATAGAAAGAAAATTATATTGTGGTAGCTCCTGCAGCCCCAGTCAGGGATCGGGGCCCTGTTGTTCCAAGGGCTGGATATGAGATGAGGATGCACAAAGTCTAGAAACCAAATAAAGCTGTAAACTACTCTAGAAGTAGCAAGTCAGTCACCTGTTTAACACCCCTACTGCACATGTGCCCAGTCCACCCTGAGATTGTTCTGAAAATACCCCACCTAGGCAGCTCAAAGGGGACTAGCATAGACTACCTGCCAGCGTTATCACCCTGGAGCAGACCTAGAAGGCAGCATGGTAAAACACCGGCTGCTGGTCTGCAATGGTACCTGCACTTTTGTGGGATTTTCAGGAAAATCTCAGCACAGAGAAGGCCAGACAGAGCTTGAATGTCTTTGCCTCACTCCCCAATGCTGACTTCACCACCACAACAATGTGAGATCAACATTGTTGTTACTTTTTAGACTGTAAGTTTTTTGGAGGCAGGGAGTGTGTCATTCTGGAAGTCTGTGCAGAGACTGGCACTACTGTGGTGCAAATAATAGGTTATAACTTATACATCGTCATTGAAGTTAGAGAAAATACCAGTTAGATTACCTCACCTGTTGTTCTACAAGGTGGGATTGTTCCCTTCACTCAGTGCTTTGGGACAGTGTGGCCAAGTGGCTAAGGGGCTGGACTGGGACCCAGAACACCTGCCTTCTATCCCCAGCCCTGCAACAGGCATGTTACTTTCCCTCTGTGCTGATTTCCCCATCTGTAAAATGGGGATAATGACACTTTTTTCCCTCATAAAGCACTTTGAGATCTGTGAGTGAAAACCTCCCTATGAATATGACTTATTATTTTGATGACTCAAGCAATGGGCTTTCTGCCTCTTTACTGAGACCATTCCACAGCGTAATAGATCCCTCCACTGGGAAACAGCATGAAATACATTTAAATTCAATATTTTCCTCCCAACAGTTAACGACGAGCCCGTCTCCTCTGATTTTTGTCTCAGTGGGAATGTGCTAATGAGCACTCCTTTGATACTGCATTGCCTTCTCTATCCGCTCTCTCCTAAGGGGTGATGATGGGGTTCACTGCAGCGGAGGGGACAGCATGCAGCTCCTGTCTGGGATTTGTCAGGAGTGAAATGTATTAGCTTATGAAACCACCCAAGTGAATGAACAGGGTTAGGGAGTTCTCCGCTGCACCTGGTTGGAACTGGTGCAGACTTCAGCATCTTACACCCTTGTTGTTGTTGTTGTTTTAATCCATGAGTCACAGGGAAATCCCAGGCTGAATTTTTTGGTTCCCTTGCCCTCAAACTCCTATCCTTCTGACCAATGCAACAGCATTGGGAGGCGGAAAATCAAGCTATTTACCTGATTAGAGTGGGGGTGGATCAACAGGAATGGAATAACTTGAACAATGCCACTAGCACGTCACTGCATGTAGAAAAGGGGATGCATTAGAGACTCTTAAATAGTTGTTGCCTACACATGTAAACTGCATGTAGGCCAGGTGCACTGCCACATGCACATAACTTCCCTTGGTTTCAGTGGACGATCTGGGTGTAGAACCGCTGCACCATCAGGCCTATACATAAATAAACTGTAATGAGCTGCTCATGCCTCCTGGAAAACTTTGGGGGAAAATCTCTTTAGAGACAGTTCTCCTTATGGATCATGTTCTATACTGCCCCCCCCCCATCCTTTATTGCTAGGGCCATCCACATAGAAACAGGATCTTCCTCTCTTAGGAGTCCTCCTGCCCCTCCTGTTTATTCTCCAGCTGATGTCATACAATCCGTTTGATCTCATGGCCACTTGCCGTAGAGGAAGAGGATGACATCAAGACCTGATCTACCAGAGCCCTGGTGTAGAGCTGTAAGGGAGGGGAGTCAAGACAACATCCCTGCATGGGCAGAGCATGATATTGCAGGCACAGGTGGCGTCTGCGTGTGCAATTAGTTGATATCCGTGCCCAAATGCTGGACGGCACCTGGAATAACCAAGTTTGCTCTTCTCTCTGGTAGATCAGCCAGCGCACAGAAGTTTGAAACGTGTACCTGAGTAAGGAACAAGCAGCAAGAGCAGATAGACTGAGAAGGAAGAAAGTTCCTGTTTTCGTGCAAAAATCTCCACTAAAAAGAAAAAGGCCAGGCAAGTTTTTTAAATTATCAAATGTTCCTAAGGAACGGGCTCTGAGAGACTAGTTGTTAGACTATCTTTTAAAGCTGCTTCCTAGCCCCCTTTCTCTCATCAGAACAATAAGGATGTGCTGAGATCCTATGGGTACTGGAGCCATAAAGAATCTATACATATCCCTAGCACGTATAGCTGCTCCGTGCTCAGTTGTTCTTCGCAAAACTAGGCCGGTCTAGTCTATCCATCCAGGCCTTTATGTGGTGCTCGTCACAGGCCCCTGGACTCTTCCTTACGCTGTGTCCCATCACAGTTACTGGTGGGTGCTACCTATTGATGGCAACTTACATACCTTGGGCCTGATCTTGAGAGGTCCTGAGCCCCTGATTCTTCCAAGGAGTCTCTGCAAGTGATGAGCAGCACCCCCTCTTTACCAGTGACATCCATGGAAGTGCAGCGTGCACAGCACTTTGTAGGCCTTTGTACATGGTGGGAAATTTACACACCTGAAGAAATACCTCTTGGAACTACCCTCCCCGCCCCTGGCGCATGCACACGCGTCTTCCGTGACAACGGACGCATCCTGACGGTTTCCAGAACATTTTTTAGTTGCAAACCTGTGCTGGATGCTTGGGTGGTTGACTAAAGCCAGTGTTAGTTGTCTCTGAATGTAATAACACGTTGCATTTCCGCAGTGCCTATTACTCAAGGACACCAAAATGCTTTACAAGCATTAAACCTCATAACAGCCCCTCAGGTAGGTCAGGTTATTCAAGGCTTAATTCAGGCATCTCTGCAATGAAGCTAGCTCTGGCTTGGATCACATCCGTTGTTTAACAGTGCACAGCAACACTACACAGCATGTTAGGACTAATAGGGAAAGGAAATACTGTCTCTGATTGCAACTGTAGGCGCATATTAAGTAGTGGGGCTAATTACCAAAGCTAGGATTGGGTCCGGACACAGGGTTATTGCTTGATGTAAAGCCCTGTATCAAAGCGTGGTTGGGTTATTTTCTTATGCAAAGTACCCTGGGACCCATCATGCCCCCAGGCCATCAATGTGAGGCTTCAGGGTGGTGCTGGCATATCACAGCACCCACCGGCGCCCTGCGGGGCCCTTGTTTTCAGTGGTGATTCGGAGGGAAGAGCTCACACAAAGGGATCAGGGCTGTGTGTGAAGGCTGCTATGCCCAACGCAGCTTCTGTCTGGGGCTGCCCCCTGTCTGTTCTGGGTCAAGCTCTGATTTGGTTGGGAAACTCCTAGCTCGGGGGGAATCGGCACAAAGGTCTCAAAAAGGCCCGAGACAAGAGGTTGGCCATAGAATTAGCAATAGGTGATGCCAGCCGGAGAAAATGGTGTGTGTGGGGTGTGTGTGTGTGTGTGTGGGTGGGTGGGTGGGTGGGTGGGGGGGATAAGAGCTAGATTCTCTGGCAGGGGGAATTAATAGGCCAATGGGCCTCCAACTCCGCAGCCATCCTGGAAACTTCTTCCCAGCCCCCAACCACACGTGGGTGAATGCGCAAAACTGCCAGAGAAAAATCTACCCAGTTTTGCAACTCCTCTTCCTCCCCCACCCCCCTCCTCGGGTCCAGGGCAGCCTGGCGCTGGAGACTCTCCAAGCCGGGGCTCCGGGCGAGCCAGTGCACAGAGGTGTGTGGTTTCGCCAGCTTCCTCCGCCTGCAGCAGCGAGATTCCTTCCAACTCCAATCAGTGGCCAAGGCTCTGGCAGGCGCATACGGGGCTGTGCGCTCTGTGGGCGGCCCCGCAGGCAGAGCCGGGTTACCGGGTGGCTTTTCCTCCCTCCGGGGGATGGCCGGGAGCGCGTGAGAGGGGGGAGCTGCAGCCCCGAGCCGTGGGGCGGGTGTCTGGCTGGGGCAGCAGCAGCAGCTGCTGGGGGTGGGAGCGAAGTGACCCACCGCGCTGCGGAGATGGCGCTGCCGAGTTCGCAGCCCAACTTTGCACGAGACACGTACGGACAAAGTTAGCTCTTCGCTCCCAGCTGCCAGGCGGCTCCAGCCCTTCCAGCGGCGCCTTCCCGGGCTCCGCTCCGCAGCGACCCCCCCTGCCCCTGCCATGGGGCGCTGATCGCACCCAAACTTGGACCAACTTTTGTACCGCTCGTCGGTCTCCCCGCCGCCGCCTGCGTGTGGGAGCGTGGCCCGTCCGTGAACGCGGCTGGGCAGCAGGATGAGAGCGCAGCCCCGGGGAGCAGGCAGCCGCGAGCCCAGCCGCCGCCGAGGCGCCCCGGGTGCAAAATGAGCGACTACCCAGCGCTGGAGAAGGAGGCGCCGATCTCCCGCAAGCAGCGGCTGATGGCCGCGATCGCCTCCGGCAGCTCCAGCGCCGAGCCCCCCTCGGCGCTTTGCTGCTTCATCTGCGGCGGGGGGATCGGGCGCGGCAAGGCGCTGAAGCTGCAGGTGAAGCAGCCCCGGGAGAACCAGCCTTTCTTCCCCTTCCTGCAGCACCAGGAGCCGGCGCCGGGCGCCCAGGAGGTGACCCCGGAGGGCTGCGCGCTGGTGTGCGCCGTCTGCCGCTGCTTCCTGGGCGAGCAGTGGGACGCGTTCGAGCGCAGCCGGACCCCGGTGGAGAAGCGCATGTACTGGCTCAAGCGCCCCTACCAGTGCGAGGCGGCGGCGGGCGCCGGGCTCCGCCGGGGGCCCCAGGAGTGGAACCTCTCCTACGCCCTGGACGAGCAGCGGCGGCTCAGCCTGGGGGGCAGCAGCAGCAGCCAGCCCCCCGAGGAGGAAGAGGAGGAGGACCCCGGCGCAAGCGGCGGAGACTCCGACCTGTCCTCGCTCTCGGACACCGACCAGCTCTCCGAGCCCGAGCTGCAGCTCCACGCCCCCGGCCGGGACAAGAGCGCCAGGAGCCCCGGCCGCTGCCCGGCCCCAGAGCCGCTGAGCCAAGCCGCGGGGCTGCAGCTGCTGCGCCAGCAGGGCGCAGCCAACGGGGCAGCCGAGCGGCCGGGGGCCAGGCGCGCCCATGGGCAGCCGCCCCCGCGAGTGGCACGGCCAGCCGCCCCCGGCCCCGGACGAGGCACCTGTGCCGCAGGACAACGGGCTGGCTGGGGGGAGGAGGAGGCGGCGGCGGCGCCACTGGCCGGCCGATGCCCCCAGCAGCGTCCGGAGCAGCTGGAGAGGGGGCCAGGGCGCAGCATCCCTGCCCGATGCTTTCAAAGCGGCGGCCTCCGGCCGGGCACCTGAGTCTGCCCCGGGGGATGGCGACTTGATGGGCAAGCGGGTCCCGGCCTACGGCTCCTCAGAGGAGAGCGAGATCAACATCACCAGCGACGAGGAGAGGCAGGGGGCCTGCCGAGCCCCCAGCAGGCCGGAGAACGCCCGCGCCCTGGCAGTGCCCAGGCCGCCCTGGGCAGCAGCCCCCCCGCCGGGCACCGTCTGCTACATCTGCGGCAGCCCCTTGTCCCCGGCGGGCCAGCACCAGATCCACGTGCAGAAACAGGAGAAGACCTCCAAGGCCCCCTTCTTCCCTTTCCTGTGGCTGCACAGTCCGCCCCTGGGGGCCCTGCCCATCAGCCCCGCGGGCAGCACCCTGGTCTGCTCCTGCTGCTTCACCTCCCTCATGCAGCAGTGGCAGAGCTTCGAGGTGGCCAGCGTGCCGGTCCTGCAGCGGCTCTACGTGGTGCCGCTGGATGCCAGCGCAGTGGGCATGCCGCCCAAAGGGAGGAGGGCCCAGAAAGAGGAGGGTGCCCCTGCCCTGCTGCAGGAAGCCTGCTACCTCTGTGGGGAGGATTGTAGCAAGGAGGCCAGGCCGGTCTCTGCTAAGCTCACCAATGGCAATGCTAAAAACACCATGCACTTCCCCTTCCTCAGCCACCTGCCTTGCCCTCCCAGCGCCAAGGGGCTGAACAAGCATGGGGAGGTGCGCAGCTGCAGGAAGTGCTATGGGGTGCTGCAGGACCTGTGGGCCATGTACCGGGCGTGCCGCAACGAGGAGCTCATCACCTCAGTGCAGAGCTTCCTGGGGAGGTATCACCAGGTCTTCTCCACCGGGGATCCCAGCAGCACTGCCATGCACCCTTCGGCCACCTCAGGCCCTGCCTCTGTCTGTTACATCTGCGGAGCTGAGCTGGGAGCCGGCAAAGAGTTCCAGCTCAACGTCAACCCGCCAGGGCGCTTTGGGGAGAAGGAGCCTTTCTTCCCCTTCCTCACCGTCTACCCCCCGGCCCCCAGGGCCAGGCCTGCAGACTCCACTGGGCTGGTAGCTACCTGTGTGCTCTGCTACCATGACCTCCTAGGCCAGTGGCTGCAGCACGAAAGCAGGAATTCCCACCATCCCAGCAGCGCCTGGTCCAGGCAGTACAAAGTGGAGACCTTCGTGTGCTTCTTCTGCCGGCAGGAGAAGAAGCGGTGCCTTGGATTAAAAGCAGTGCAGGTTGCCCGGCTCCCTGTGTTTCTGTACACCCTCCGCATGGCCAACAGCTTACTGGTGGATGATGGTAAAGAACTGACCATTGGAGCATGTGCAGAATGTGGGGCGGTGGTGCTTGCTGGCAAAAGCATGACACCTCCGGACTTTCTGGCTATGACACCCCCAGCCAGTCTCCCAAAGGTAAGGTACCAGTGTTCACTCCATTCTCCATTGATTTCCCTTGGGGAGGCAGGGGAAGCCGGATGCTTTGGTTTCAGTGGAATTAGTTTTACAGTGGGGTCCTTGACCAAGTTTCCTCTGTAGTGTCTGATTCAGGAGGTAAACACTAAGCAGGGTGCTTTTTGGCAAACCGGTTTGGGGTCGCTGGCCTCCTAGCTAAAAAATGGAGTCTCTCCAGAAGAGCTATGGCCAGCCAAGAGCTGGCTTGTTAAGAAAGCAAGGGCCCAGTCTGCGGAGGTGGGGATGGCTTGGACTTGAGTCTGCCCAAGTGGGGAAATCCTGGTCTTGTACCTTTCTCAATGGTGAATGTCACAACTGCCACGTTCTGGCCGGTCAGAGAGCCGTCTGTCTCCCTTTACTCCAGCCAGCAGATCTTTAAAGGAACAGGCCTGCTCCCAGCAGACAAGCCCCATGGGAAATCCCGCCAGCTAGCAGAGAGAGGAGCCGCCAACTCAGAGGAAAGTTATCCAGCTAACTTTATTTTCCTAAGAATCCCAATCAAAACAGTGTTTCTTAAGAGGAACTCAAGTCCTTCCAGCTGATGTCCAGACTCTCTTTTTTTGGGTGCGGGGAGGAGGAGAGGACAGGGCGACATTCCCAACCTGGTTTGCTTTTCCCCTCTGAGAATGAGCCTTTATTCTTTGCCCGTCAGCTGTGCAGGAGCAGGGGAAGCTGGTGGGATTATCCTGTATAAAGGGCGCCTGCCTTCATGCTGCTATGATTAGGGAAACCTATTTCATTCTCATCAGTGGTTCCATCCCCCTTTTAGAGGGGCAGCAGCTCCTAATAGACTCCCAGTGGGTCCCATCGAATATGAGTGCTGGATTGAAAATAATAGTCATTTAAACCTTGATCATCCAGGGGTTGCTTTTTGAGCAGCCTGCACCCAGAACAACGACATCTACGAAGATGCAGGCAGTCAGCATCTAGGTGCAGCAAGGACAGGTTGCTTGGAAAATTGGCCATTTGCCTGCCTGGAGGTTACTTTTCTGTCAGCAGGAATGGGATCCTATTTGAATTTTCGATAGTACTCATGACAAAATACATGCTGTGTGCGCGTGCGTGTTGTAGTTTAAAAGCAGGCCTGGGAGTCTCTATTTGGCTTTGGTTGCCTTCGTTGATGCCTCTGTAAAATGGTGATAATTGAATCCTTATTATTACTTCCCGGGTGTGCTGTGAGGCTTAGCTAAATTACCGAAAGTGCTTTGAGATCCTCCGGTGGGAAGGTAGTGTAGGGGTGCCGTGGGTTGTTGCTGAAGGAGAACCCCAAAAAGTTCACTCATACAAGGGAAGGCCCATGCCTATGTTTCAAAAACTGTCCTCCTCACTCTTCTTAGGAAGGGGAATTTCATTAATGCCTTTGCTCAAAATTTGTCAAAAGGGAAAGATTGGGGGGCGGGGGGGGCAACTAGAGATGCCTGACTTTAAAGGGACCTGGTTTCAGAGGGTGAGTGCTCAGCACAATCTGAAAATCAGGACCCTTTAAAGTGTCTCTAGTTGGTGCCCCCAAAATGAAGACATCTAAAAGGACTAATCAGTTTTGAAAATCTTCAGGTTTTGTTCATAGCCGGCATTTGTTCTCGAAGCATTGACATTTTCTTTAGAAATGCACCACAATCTTTCCGAGTCAGGACTCCTTTTTTCTTCTCTCCTGTGGCTGGTTGAAGTACAGTTTTCAGATGGGCTCGTTTGCAGCGTGGGCGCTGTGTTCAAAGCGGAGTCTCACTGGCTTCGAAGCAAAGGGATGCTGCTCCTTACGCTGTCAAGCTGCCAAATTCACAAGTCTTTCCCTTCGGGCTTGCTGGGCGACAGCTGAACGAGTCAGAGGTTCAGAGCACAGTGCCTGCTTTGAGAATTCCAGGACCGAGATGTGAGTTTGATTGGCACCAGAGACAGGAATCCTCCGAAAGTCACTCTTTTCAGTTTTCCCCTGGCTCCCTTCCTACATCAGTGCAAGCCAGAGTGACCTGATCTCAATGCAGGTCATTCATCAACACAGGTTATTTCTTTGTGAGTTACATGCCGATTGGCAGAGCACGGCTAGAATCCACCCTTGTTAATCACTTTGTGAGTTATGATCATGTATGACACATTGTGTGTGCGATGGTGGGGACTGGGAAACGTGAGACTGCTGGATCAAATGGTACTAACTCAGTGCAGGTGATAACTCAGGATTTCACTGTTAAAATTGAGATTACGCTGTACATAAAAGGTCCAAACCCATGTCCCGTTGAATCCAATAGCAAACCTCTCGTTGATTTCACTGAAACCCAGAGTTGGCTCCCAAAGCAGGTAACTCAACTGAGAATATTCCTGTCTCCTGAGAGTTCATTCACAAGCTCCCTTTGAATCCCAGGCCTGCGGCGGTACATGTATTAGGAGACACTCATGCGCTGCTAGAATGCAGCAGAGCGTAAGGAGATATAGATAAGTGTAGAGCCTTCCTTTCTATAGCCCATTTTTTGGTTGATCTGAGAGTTAAAGCCCCTCCATTAAAGCGGTAGCTGCAAAAGGCCTGTTCTTACAACTCTTGGTCTCTGGAGTGCCCGGTAGTCACGTGAGCTATCCCGCTGACTTGAACAGAATTACTTGTGTGAGCTTAGGTTGCAGGATTGGGCTGTATAGCGTGAACCACAGCAACCAAACCCCCTTTTCATCCCTCACTTTGAAGGAGATGTTTCTTCCGCAGCTGGGTGCATTTCCCCTTTAAATGCTGTCTGCGGCTATTTCCCTCCACTGGGCTTTATTTTCTTGCGCTGGGTAATATCACGGGTCCAAGAGTACTTTACATTAGTGCCATTTGGACTGGGAACAGGTGCTGCTGGGGTGTTTTACTGACATATGAACTATTCCAGAGCGCTTCTGTCATCACTCGAATGTCAGCGTTAGACACATCTGTTTCCTGCGTTTCCTGCAGCGTTTGTTATCTGCAACCCAAAAGCTACATATTTCTTAAGCCTTTCAGTGGCTCCCTGCCACCAGAGCACTAACCCGACGCTCAGGTGATATGCTGTGCTCATCATCTTATTAATCAAAGAAAACTCTCGGCACCCCGTGAAAGCCCGCAATAGGGCCGCAGGACAAAACATAAAGCCCCTGTGAGTTCGCCTCCCTCCCTCCCTCTCCTGGAATTCCACCGTTTCAGCCGAACAGTGCGGCAGGCTTGTTTTGGCAAAGGGGAAAGCATCTGCTCAGAGAACGGCCCTGAAAAAAATATCCACTTTGGCTCTCTTGTCTGAAGCACTGTCCCAAATCTGAATGGCTCGGAGAATCTTTTGTGCGAGGAAGTGAAAGAAAGATGTGTGTGTCGGGAAGATGGGATTAGCCCAGAAGGTCTGTGCAAGGAGGGTGTTCGAGGCTTAGAGCAGATGCTATTGAATTCTCCTCTCTTGTTACATGGCTCGCTAATGAGCGATGTAACTAGCTGTTACACTGGGCACCCCGGGGCAGCCCCCAACACAGATGCTTTGAATAGATTTGCTTATGCAGGGCATTGCAATTTCAGCCCCATTTGATTGTTAATACTCTTTGCTTTTCCTTCATTGCCGTTTGGGACAACAACTCTCTACCTGTTGCCTTTTGACTCTCCCCATGTTTGTATTAGCCTTCAGTAAGGCTGGGATTCAGAGGGTGTCAGGTTTATTTTAAACAGGACTTGATACATTTGGCTAATTTAACTAATGGGAGAAATTTCTTCTCCCTCTCAGCTGCCGCTCACACAATCAAGGGTTCTTGTGGCTAGTAGCCCTGTAAGAGCTCTTTACCCTTCATCACAAAGCCCTTGGTGCCTCTGTTTTTGCTGACGTCCCTCCTTTAAAACCAGACAGACCAAAGCACTTGACTATACAGTGGGGAAAAGCCTCCCCCTCCCCAAAAAAGGGGTTGGACAATATGTCCCATAAGGTATTTCCCACGATTCCCTGTAGCTCTGCCTTTTGTGTTCTATTTATTTTTTACACATTCAGCAAACACAAACCCATTAGTGTGCATAGGTGTGGGGGTGGGGTTTAAACACTGAGTGGGGGAACACTGTTGTTGGGGGGGGGGGAGAGTTGTTAGAGCCAGAACTACGCACGCTTCAGAGTTAGGACTTATCCCCAAAGTGCATTTCCTGCATAAATTCACCCACTAGTTTGCTGAACAAATTCCAGTATGATACTTAAAGCCCCAGCTCCTTCTCCTGTAGCAGCCTGAGAAGGAAGATGTTATGTCTCAGGTGTCTCCTACAGCCCTTGGTGACAGAAGGAGGGAACCAAGTCTTGTTCAGAAACTGACCTTTTATACTTTCTCACCAGGCCTAGGTGGGCTCAGGTGTGTTCTGGGTTGGACAAGGCCTCTGACACGCCCCTATATATAAAAGAGAGGGCAGGGCAAATTCTCTTCAGAGTTCCTGGGTGCGTTGTATCCTGCTGGAACAATGGGATCTACTCTTTGTCTGAGGTGAGCAAGGAGCCTTTGTGTGTTATTCTCTGGTCAAATCATTCCTCTCTCCTTGCTGCAGGGGCTGCTGGTGTGGATTAGAGAACCAAAGGTTACTGTAGCTGGCTGTTGTGCTGAGCTGCCTGTCTCCTACCCTTCCTGGGGCAGTTATTGCCGGCTGAGCCTGCAATTGTGAATGGCTCCTGAATTGGAGATGGGGGCTGTGAAAGAAGCCTCCCCACTGTGCACTTCTGTCGAGTAGTGGTGAACTAGCTCATAATGGATGAGGCCAGGCTAGCAATATAGAAGAAGAATCTCCTCTTGCCTTGAGAATTGTGTGCTGAGAATGAAGAGGGTGACAGGTTCTAATCGTGTAGAATTCCAACAGGAATAACTGGCAACAGTACTATGGTTCCAAATTCATCAGTTGCAGAAATCCAACAGGAGTACACTTGCCATTCATTAAACTCCTTGTAACCACAGAGGCCTGGTCTACACTAGGGGGGATTGATCTGAGATACGTCGACTTCAGCGACGAGAAT